GGGGGGCTGCTGCCTGCCTTGAAAGAGCAAGGCACCAAGTTTGATCCCCGGTACAAAAAAAAAAAAAAGGGCCAGGGATTTAGCTCAGGGGGGCTGCTGCCTGCCTTGAAAGAGCAAGGCACCAAGTTTGATCCCCGGTACAAAAAAAAAAAAAAGGGCCAGGGATTTAGCTCAGGGGGGCTGCTGCCTGCCTTGAAAGAGCAAGGCACCAAGTTTGATCCCCGGTACAAAAAAAAAAAAAAGGGCCAGGGATTTAGCTCAGGGGGGCTGCTGCCTGCCTTGAAAGAGCAAGGCACCAAGTTTGATCCCCGGTACAAAAAAAAAAAAAAGGGCCAGGGATTTAGCTCAGGGGGGCTGCTGCCTGCCTTGAAAGAGCAAGGCACCAAGTTTGATCCCCGGTACAAAAAAAAAAAAAAAAAAAGAGACAGAAGGAAAGAAAAAAGGGGGTAGGGCACGCCAGGCTAAGTGGCACTATGCAGGAGGCTGAGGCAAGAGGATCACAATTTGGGGGTCAAATGGGGCAATTAGTAGAACCCTGTCTCAAAATAAAAAGGACTGGGGAGGGCAACCCATTCAGGACCCCTCCTGTTCCTCAGGAGCTATCCCTATTCCCCATTCTTATTCCCTATTCCTATTGCCCAATAAATTTCCTACTCTTAAAAATAAATGAGCTGGGGATACAGCTCAGTGGTAAGTGTTTGCCTAATATGCATGAAGTTTCCATCTTCAATACAACCAAAAAAAAAAAACTTTTATAACCAAGTTATAAAAGTTGTGACCGTATGTTTTTCTCCCTAATATGGTAACTATTTCAATGTATATAAGCACAGTGGCTAAATTTTATTTCTCTCTCTTAAAAAAATCGCCAGGCTTGGTGGCACATGCCTGTAATCCCAGCATTCAGGAGGCTGAGGCAGGAGGATCACTGTGAGTTCGAGACCAGCCTGGGGTACATAGTGAGTTCCAGGTCAGTCTCAACTACATAGTGAGACCCTGTGTCTAAAAAGAAAAAAAAAAAAAAAAAAAAAATCATTCAATAATATTGCCCAAATCTAATTTTCATATGGCAAATCAATGTTATGACACATACAAATTTGAAACATGAAAGTCAAAATAATTGTTTTTCTCTCATCATCCCAATAAGCCAAACAAACAAACAAAAAGGCAGTCACCTTGGCAAAGTTTCAAAGGTTAAAAACAACGAGAAACAGGTCCTAGCTGGCCGTGGTGAACATACTTGTAATCCTCGCTACCAGAGAAGCCAGCCTGGGCCAGTCTGGGCAACTTAGAGAGGACCTTGTCTCAAATATATATATGAGGGCCAGGGATTTGGCTCAGTGGCTCTGCTGCCTGCCTTTCAAATGCAAGGGCTGGAGTTCAATCCCTGGTACCAAAAAAAAAAAAAGTATATATATGTGTGTGTGTATGTGTGTGAGAAAAATGTGAGTTATATATATGTTTTAAAAATTGTAATACAGTACTGAGAATTGAACCCAGGGTCTTGAACATGCAGACAAACACTTACTGAGCTATGCCAAGTGTGGTGGCCCAAACCTATAATCCTAGTACTCAGGAGGCTGAGGCAGAAGGATCACTGGGAGTTTGAGGCCAGCCTGAGCTATAAAGGAAGACTGTCTTAAAAAAAAAAAAATCACTGAGATATATCAAGGCCACAAAATAAAATTTTGGGGAGGGAGGGAGGAAGGAAAAAGAAATAATAGAAAAAAAGGGAGAGAGGGAGAAGGGAGGGAGGGAGGGAGGAGGGAAGATGTTGGTCTGGTGCCTATCTAACAATTATGGTGCAAAGACAGCGGAAGGTCTTCCCAGGATTCCTGCCCTAGGCCCTTCCCCAGAGTGGAGCTGAGTGCAGGCAACAGTTGCCCAGTCAAGAATACACTTGCCAGAGGAGCTCTTGCCTCACAGGGGACATATGACTGGCTCTTCCCAATGGAACATGAGCAGAAAAAACAGGTATCGTGTCTGGGTTGAGAGAGCCTAGAAACAAGTGTGTCCGCACTCTCTCACTTCCCTGATAGCACTGCAAGCTGAGAACCATCAAGATTTGGAAGAGGGCAGATCCAAGAATGAAGGAGCCTGGGTTCTGAGTGACAGTGAGAAGTACATCTGCCCATCAGACACACCCTCACTGACTGTTGTGTGAGCCAGAAAGAAAGGCACCGGGCCATCCCTTGAAATGTTGAAGTGGGTTTGTTATGTGGCTAGTGCTACTCTAATATAATTGTTACATTCCAAGATGCTGAGAAAAGGCTTTTTAGTGAATTCAGAGCCACACTAGAAAAGAATATATTTTTTACTTCTGTGGAAAACTATTTTAACACAAGGACTGTAATCTCAAATGCCTAAAGACTAGGCAGATAGTGCAATACTATAAATACCTAAATAGTATAGCTCAGTGGTGCCATGCCTGCCTGGCAAGTTCAAAGTCCTGAGTTTGATTCCTGGTACTGGAAAAAAAAAAAAAACTAAATAGTATTTATTATATGCTATGGTGAACATTTATATAAACTTATTCAGGGGCTGGGGATTTAGCTCAGTGGTTTGGTGGCCTGCCTTGCAAGTGCAAAGACCCGAGTTCAATCCCTGGTACAAAAAAAAAAAAAAAGAAAAAACAAAAACCCAACTTATTCAGTTCTCACAAGTTTGTAAGATAAATAAACTATTATACCCCTTTTGTGCAAGGTACAGTAGTATACTACTGTAATCTGAGGTATTAAGAAAATTGAGGCAGACCGGGCGTGGTGGCTCACGCCTGTAATCCCAGCACTCAGGAGGCTGAGGCAGGAGGATCACTGTGTGTTCAAAATCAGCCTGGGCTACATAGTGAGTTCCAGGTCAGTCTCAACTACATAGTGAGACCCTGTCTCAAAAAAGAAGAAAGAAAGCTGAGGCAGGACCAGGGATTAGCTCAATGGAGCAGCTGCCTGCCTCACATGTGCAAGGTCCTGAGTTTGATCCCAGGTACCAATAAATAAATAAATAAACAAACAAATAAATAAATAAGGCCAGCCTGGGCAAACTAGCAATAACCCACCTCAAAATTTAAAAAGGGCTGGAGGTATATATAGCTCAATAGTACAGCACACCTGGATTCAATCCCCAGTTCTGTAAAACAAAAGACTTTTTTTTTTTTTTTTTTTCATAGGAGGAAAGTGAGGGCCACAGGGATCACACAACTAGTAAGAGACAAAGGAGGATGCCAAGCCAGGCAGCCCCACTTGTCTTGCTCTGTTGTTCACTACCCAGCGCAGGCAAATAAAAGGGTCAAAGGAAGAAGACTGGAGCAATTGGGGAAATCACATACCATCTGAAGGGGTCATTCAGCTCTATCTGAACGTACTGACAACATTCCCAAATTTCAAGAAAAGCCAGAAGTCCAGATTTCTATGTAAAATCTCCAGATTCCCAAATGATTTAATTTTTTTTAACCCTCTGCAGCTCAAACTGCACAGCAGACCACACTTGGCCTGTGGCTGCCTCTACACACAGCCTTAGAGCAGCTGTCTTCTGTGGTCCAAAGGTCCCGGGGATTCAGGGTGGGATAGTCAGAGGGGTGATTCTTCAGTAAACAACCGGCCCACTGACATGAATAATTAACTTCTTCCCACTGCCATCCCACAAAGGTTACCAATAAGCCAGGCATTGTGGGGGGGATTCCATGTCCTTCAGAGACAAGGACAGGTGTGGGGATCCAAGGAGGGTCGCACAATAAAGCCTGATGTGGTGGCCTGTGCTCAAGGGGAGTCAGTGGATGCCAGCTGGGCCGAGAGCCTGTTCCTTGCCTGGCTGCCTCAGTAGGGCAGTATTGCTCATTAAGAGACAGGACACGCTGCGGCTTTCATGGCTGTCAGCGGGAGGAGGCTCTGGATTCCTCAAGATGTTTTAAAATGAGACAAAAGGACACAATTATGCAGCCAAACGAAGACAAGGCAGCTGCATACAAAGCAGAATTTTCTCCCTAACAGGACCATTACCAGTTAGACAGTGCTGAGGTCTCACCTTCCTCCCCGGGCTGCGGCTGTGAAGCATCTGTAATTGAATGCTCTGCTGCTCCCGCTCTTGCTCTTGGATTATTCAAACTGCAGGATTTCCAGAAGCCTCCGGTTTCAATTAAGGATATGTCAAGGCAATGAGATGAGCAAGATACCAATTTTTGGCCTTATGGTGTTTTTCAGCAATGCACATAGCCAAACAAATGATGATGAGATTAACAAACGGCATTGAGCATTCACTTTGTGCCAGGTGCTGGTCGAAGTGCTTTTTATACACTGGTTTAATCTGTACCCAAATGCATTAGACATTGATGTCATGATCACCCCACTTCTATGGATAAAGAAACCAAGACACAAAAGGACTGTATAACTTACTCGGGGTCACATAGCTCAAAGCGTCAGAGCTGGGATTTGTTATTTTGTTTTATTTTTGAGACAGGTTCTCACTATATAGTTGAGACTGACCTGGAGCTCACTATGTAAACCAGGCTGGTCTCGAACTCACAGCGATCCTCCTGTATCAGCCTCCCAAGTGTTGGGATTAAAGGTGTGCACCACCACGGCTGGCCAAAGCTGCGATTTGAACCCAAGCACTGTGGTCCCAGACAGCATGCCCTTGACCTCCACACCAGTGGCTATTTGCATTTACAGAGCACTGGGATTACAGGTGTGTGGGACCTGTTTTATATAATTATTTTATTTAATTTTTATAACAGTAAAAGAGGTATAATCGTCCCTACTGAACAGAAAAAAGAATGTACGTTGTAGAGAGATTAAGCAATTTGGTTAAGGGCACAAAATAACAAATGGCCTACAGCCTGGCTATAAACCCAATTGCCTGTTTCAAAGCCAGGCTCTTAACTTTGCTTGTTATAGAGGCCCAACTCATTTAACTACCGTGCTGGGATTTATAAAACTTAGTCTTCGAAAATCATGTAGTCCTATCACTGTATTTACAAGTTAATTTGTGTGAGGGAGGGATTCTGAGATTCAGTCTAAGACTACAGGAATAAGAGGCACATTACAACACAACTTCAATAACCTTATTTTAGAGGTGAGGAGCTGTTGCCTAAATAGATGAAGATTTAGTTGGTGAGATAATACTTAGTCTCTCAGAACTGCACTGATTAAGTATGTAATATGTACTTCTACTGACACTTGGCATGAAAAACCATATTAGTTTAGTCAGTTGTCCCCAAATTACAAATTAATGGTTTCAAACTTTTGTTTACAAAATTATTCTTATAAACCGGGCACAATGGTACACGCCTGCAATTCCAGCACTTGGAAGGCTGAGGCAGGAGGATCACCATGAGTTTGAGGTCAGCCTGGGCTATGTGGGATGGGATGGACAGACCAACCAACAAATAAGAAAACCCAAAAAAACAAAACAAACAAGAGTATTTTTATAAGTCTGTCTAATTATTTTTTTCCACATTTAATGGGTTTTATTTTGGCAGATTTGTACATGCACATATACTTATTTCCCCACCACCACCACACTTGCCTCATTCCCTTAAATTCACATTTTGGGGATGTTTCAATATATAATGTATTTTAATCATATTTATCTCTTTTATGACCTGCCCTTATATCTTCCCTCACCAACAATTATTAGATAAGATCTTGTCTAATAATAGTCTCCTTTTTACTCTTATTCACACATTAGGAAGAACATGTGATATTTTTCTGATTTCACTCAACATGATGATCTCCAGACTCATCCATTTTTCTGCAAAGGACAAGGTTCACTTTTTTAATGGCTAATTAATAAGCCAATGTGTTAACACATATTCTTTATCCATTTATCTGTCAATGGGCACCGAGGCTGGTTCCATTATCTTGGCTATTGTGAATTGTGTCACAATAAACAGGTGTGCTGGTGCTATCCTTATGGGATGCAGATTTTAATCCCTTTGGGTATATACTGAGTGGTACAGCTGGATCTAATCTACTTCTAGTTTTTTGCGGAATCTCCATACTGGTCTCACTGTGGCTATACTAATTTACATTTCCACCAGTAGTGTAGAAGCATTCCTTTTCCCTACATCCTTACCAGCATTTATTGAGTTGTTTTTTTTTATATTCTTGTTGATAGCCATTCTGACCAAGGTGAGATGGAATCTCAATATTGTTTTGATTTGCATCTCCCTAATGACTAAAGATACCATGTGTACTTCTTAAGTCTATTCAATTCTTTTGCCCTTTTATTGATTGGGATATTTGATTTTTTTTTTACTTTTTTTTTTTTAGTGTTGTTTCTGGATTTTTTATACACAAGATAGTAATCTTCTGTCAGAAGAGTAGCGGGCACAAATTTTCTCCCATTCTGTATGCTGTCTCTTCACTCTGTTATTTTCCTGTGTTGAAACTTTTTCATTTGATGTAGCACCATCTATTGATTCTTGGTATAATTTCCTGTGCTATGAGTCCCATTCAAGAAGTCTTGGGGCCAGGGATTTAGTTCAGTGGTGCCACCATATGCTTCGCAAGCTCAAGGTCCCGAGTTCAATCCCTGGTACCAAAAAAAAAAAGTCTTTGTGCCTATGGTGTCAAGTGATTTCTCTGTTTCCTTTTAGCAGTATCAAAGTATCAGGTCTTAAATCTAGGTCTTTGATCAATTTTTAACTGACTTTTGTACAGGGCGAGGAGATAAGGATCTCATTTCAACCTTCAACAACTAGATATCCAGATTTCCTGGCAGTATTTGTTAAGACGCTATCTCTTCTTCAACATATATTTTTACCTTCTTTGTCAAGAATCAAACGGCTGTAGTTGGGGGGACTGTTTCTGTGCCTTGAATTCTGTCCCAATGGTCTACGTGTCTATTTTTGTGCCAGTACCATGCTGGATTTATTACTATGGCTTTGTAGTATAATTTGAAATCAGATATTGTGATGCCTCCAGGCTTGCTCTTGTTGATTAGGATTGCTTTGGCTGTTAGGGGTCTCTTGTGTCTCCATATGAATTTCAGTATTGTTTTTTCTAGTTTTGTGAAGACTGTCATTGGTATTGTGATGGGAACTGCACTGAATCAGTAGACTGCTTTTGCTAGTATGGCCATTTTAACAATATGAACTCTGCCAATCCAACAACATAAGAAGCCTTTCCATCATCTGCTGTCTTCTTCAATTTCTTTCTTCAATGTTCTGAAATTTTCACTGTAGAAATCTTTTATTTCCTTGGTTAGATTGGTTGGTAGGTTGCTAAGTCATTTTTTTTAAATTACTGTGAATGGAACTGTTTTATTGATATCTTTCTCAGTCCATTACTGGAGTACAGAAAATCTACTGCTCTTTTAATGTTGATTTTATATCCTGCTACTTTGCTGAATTTTTTATCAGCTCTGCAAGTCTTTTGGTGGAGCTCAGTGTGGTGGTACACGCCTATTATCAGAGCATTTGTGAGGCTGAGGCAGGAGGATGGCTGCAAGTTTGAGGCCAGTCTGGGCTATAAAGTGAGATCCTGTCTCAAAAAAAAAGAAAAATGTTTTTTGGCGGAATATTCAAGGTATTCTAAAATAAGATATCATCTACACACAAAAATAATTTTACTTCTTTTCTCCCTTATATTTGTATCCCTGTTTTTTCTAACCTAACAGCTCTGCTAAAATTTCAAGTATATATTATAA